ACACACTGACAGGGTCGTTGCAATATGCGTTTTTGCTGCCTGTTGCAGCGCTCTAGCGCTGCACGAAAAAAACGCATAAAAAGCAATCAACTGGTTTTCTTGAATCAATATGCTCTCTTTATCAAGTCACATATATATATACGTATATACATATATATACATGTATATATGTGTATATATATAAACTCTATACATATATGTATATGTGTGTAGAGTTTCGGCTATCACTTGAAAATTATCATTATCAAGAACAAAACTTTCGTCAATGCATCTGCACATTAATAGTGTAGAAATTGTTTCGCGGATAGTCGTCTCAACTGCCATTCAATCATTGGAGTATTGTTCGGCCAGATGCCAATTCATTAAGAACTGGGTTGCTGTCACTAATTTCGCACATGTTCTTGTGATTCATTCCATAGGTCTATTTGTGGTGGCGCAGTCATAAAATGCAGCCCTTGTCTTGACCAATATTGTGGTATCGATTCACCGAACTTATGCATATACTCAGACCTCAATACACATTTCTCGGCTGACTTCCCGCGCGTATAAAGAGGGAAGAAATTTTGGCCGCGTATAAAGAGGGAAGGCGCGACCTTGAACAGAGGGCATCTTCCTGGTGCATGGTAGCAGAGCCAGTCTTCCTCACTTCGCCCCTTCCCCTTCTACCGGCGCCTCTCATCCTCAAGTTGTGCAGAGTACTAGACTGTGTCCGGAGCACTGATACAATTTGTTTGGTATATAGCTAATAAATTACTTGAAATTACGATGAAGTAACCTGTGAGTTGTCCAACCGATTGCATTTTTTCGAAGTGTGGAGCTGCTGCTGCTGTTGATGCTGTTGATTGTACGAAATATCCAGTAATCGGGCGCCGCGCTTCGGTATCGGGGAAAGATTCAAGGCTGTAGGTGGAATTTTTCTTGTAAAAATATGTAAAAGAAAATGAAATTTTTCGAGGCAAGGGGATTTCGGTGAGACCTCAGTTGCGTTCCTGTTCCAAAAGTGGTCTCGAAATCAGTCA